GCTTTATTACATAAATTAACCATGGTATATTCCACAGATGAAAGAGTTGAAATTATCGAAATATTTTTCAGTAATAATCAGTGCGCTAATAGAACAGCAAAAATATTTAATGAGCGACAAGAGAACAGTAACGTGCATCGAAAATATGTTCTAGAACTTGTAGCTAAATTTCGGGAAAGTGGGTCAGTCGCCAATAATGGAATGAATAAATATCTACTACTACTACTACTACTACTACTACTACTACTACTACTACTACTACTACTACCACTACTATGAATACAGCATTTTGACATTTTTTTAACACTATATTCGGAACCAGTCTCCCAGATGACTCTTCTCCGCTCAGTTTTATGTGGCACGAAAATGAAAATTCTTTGTAGTAAAACTTTTAAACTTAAGGCAAACAAGGTATTTGTTTTTCCCAAAATTTAGTCTTCTATTTCCTAATTTTCATCAGTCTCAACTCAAATCTTGCATACTTGTGGATGCTGTTTCTCCACAACCCATACGTTGTTCTTTAGATGCGTATGTTTAAGCATAAAATTAAATTTCTCCTTCAACATTAATGATCAAAAAATGCAAATTAGTAGAGTGTCCAACATAAAATACCTTGGAGTGGACTTGGATCCTCACTTACGATGGGACATCCATGTCAATTATAGTTTAAAGAAAGTTAGATTTGTATCCTACAAAATTAAATACCTTGGGAATATATTGACAGAAAAATATCTTCGAACAATATACCATGCACTGATTGAGCCTCATCTCACATATGGTATATTAGCATGGGGAACTGCATGTTCCTCACATATCTATAATTTAGATGTTTTTCAAAAAAGTATTCTGAAAATGATATTTAAAAAACCGAAACTTTATCCCACTGAAAAATTATACGCAGATGTTCGAATGCATGATATAAGACAGCTTTATTTCTTACACAGTATCACTCCCTACCATAAATTTGTAAACACCGACCAAAAAATTAAACATAATCATTATACCAGGTACAAAATTCGTGGCACAGTAGTTCCTCAACCGCATAAATCTATAATGCAGCGATCATATCTCTATTTAGCGCCTAAATTTTACGAAATTATACCTAAAGACTTAAAAGATTTACGTTTCGGAAATTGTTCCAAAAGAAATTTAAAAAAGTGGCTACATTCTATATCTAGGACTGAAATTCTTAAACTTATAAATACGAACATCAACTAAATACATAATCTACTGTAGCTAATTTTTGTCCTTTTTTGTCACTTGCATTCTACAGTTTCAACTTAAATTATTGGTCCATGTACAGGCGATGCCTTCTATTGGGCTTGTTTTGATTTTATATTTATTTACTCATATTGTTTGTTATCTTTGTACATTGAGTGAATATTATTATTATTATCCTGATTCCTATAGCAGTTTGACTCTCCATGTTTCGTAGCCGCTAAATGAAACCGCATATATGTACTCGTATGCTTGAGTTTTTATTAACGTGCTTGTTGACCAGCTCGGTGTTTTTTTCAAATTACAGATAAAAGAAGTAACAGTGACAATATATCTTCCAAAACACAGTGAATTGGTTTCTGTTTCTGTGTTGTTTTGGGTGTATCAGACACGTCATCCTTGTTCAAGACCGCAAAGAACGCTAGGCGACTCCGGTCAGTGCATAACGGTTTTCTCAACATGCCTTTCGTGCAATCTTGTAAAAATGAAAAGTACAGGATAAACATATCGTTACCTTATAGAAGTTTTTTCTAGGCCCGTATCGTCAGTCGTCCCTACAATTGTAGGGCGCGTTTATGGCCTCCTTGATAGTCATACTCCTTTCTCTCCTTCAAAAATTTCTAGATTACACTTGTCCCGTGTCAGCGTCAGCGCTCTCCTATTGTGAAGATAAGTTTTCTTTTTAAATTGTAGGAAATTTCAGGCTGATAAAACATGATATAACTCAAAAGCAAGCACAATTTGATGCAAATAGAGTTCTGACACGGAGAAGTAGAAAACTATGACAATCAAGGAGGCCATAAAGGCGCCCTACAATTGTAGGGACGACTGACGATTCGGGCCCTAATGCTACATTCCTCTTCTTTCCTCAAACCGCAGATCAATATGGAAATTACATACCTGTCCAGTATCTTCTCTAACGCTGTATAGAATAATTCTCTATCATTCTTTTCTCCATCTCTCTTTCTCCTCCCAACAACTGGTGGATAGCTCTGCAGCTGAGTGATATTTTGTGGCAACATATATTGTGCCTGAAAATTCCATCCTATGGCCATAGACTGCATCGTACCGAGCTTCACTGGAATGCCGATTCCTATCACAATCTGAAAAGTAAATATTGGTGGTGCCTTTCGAAATATGCAGTGCCTTTCAAACAAAAAGGTTCCACTTTACATATTTTTGAGTGGGCCAAGTTGAGGTATATTTCTATCGTATATTGTTTATGCTATATATATATATAACTTCCGCCTTTTGTTGGGTACTTCGACCTTCTGTCAAAGGGTTTCATCTCACTCATTATTCCATGACCACTAATTTGTGCAATCATCAAGTGGCTTCACGATGTAATGCTGTAATGTTTTTTAAATAATTTTTAATCTGTTTTTAACTTGTTCTTGTCATATTTTATATAGTTTTGACCATTGTACAATCTATCCAGCTCTCACCATGTTACTGGACGTTTCCCTCATCCTATACGTAAACAACAATTAGCAACATCCTCACATACTACTGTAAGTTGAGTCAATCTAAATTCATTTTACACTTTTGTTGCTACTGTTATCATTGTAATTGCAGCTCCTGATGATGATGGCAAAGTCCATTGAAAGCTAGAGAGAATTAAAAAAGGTACCGTCATTTGGGGTGAAATTGATCATCCGGGGTGACATTGTTCACCAAATCATCAATTTATGTATTTGAATTTAGTGCCAAAATCAAATATACGAACGCACCCTTATCGACTGCTAGTGACAGTAGAAAGATGGCCGATTGCGATATGCACACGTGAACTACAACGGCTCCGTATTTGATGAAAAACTGCAAGTTGTTAGGAGTTAGTATTTTTCTGTAAAAGTGATCATCCAGAACTTTGTCAGGTAAGTCAAAATTTAAGTAGGTTTTTATATTTTCGACCAAATATATATGTATGTCTATGCCTTGAGTCCTTCGTGTGTTTTGGTGTTAACTATCGGCTCAACCATTTTGATTTTATCTGTCGTTTTGTTAGGTGGGGTCAGATTGATCACGTATATGGGGCGAGATTTGTCAACTGATCAATCTCAACCCACGTAATAAATATATTTGAATGTAACCTAATTCTGCTTGATTCATCTAATATTCCGTTGCATGTTTCAGCCATGCCAAGAAAGTACCAACGAAGGCTAGGAGCACGTTCCTACAAGGATTATCCCGATGTCAAGGTCGAATTAGCACTTCAAAAGATTGCTGAAGAAGATTGGTCTATTCGTCGAGCTGCAGCTGAATATAGAATCCCATTTGGCACACTTCGCTATAAATACGTTGGCAGCCATGTTAAGAAAAGTGGAGGTCAAACAGTATTTACATTTAACGAAGAAAAAGCATTTATAAAGGCAGCAAACTGCTGTGGAGAGTGGGGATTTCCTCTTACAATAACTGACTTACGATACTTAGCAAAAAATTACTTAGATAGCCAAGGTCGCAATATTAGCAAGTTCAAATCAAATCTGCCTGGGATTGACTGGGTTCGTTCTCTTCTAGAAAGACACAAAGGAGAGATCAGTCAAAAAGTGTCAGCGAATATTAAAAGGTCCCGTGCAAATATTTCACGAGATATCGTCGTGGAATATTTTGATAATATGAGAGAAACGCTGAAAAATGTCCCAGCCTGTAATGTGTTTAATTACGACGAGACAAATGTGCAAGACGACCCTGGAAAGCAAAAAATGCTATTTCGACGTGGAACCAAGTATCCAGAACGTATATGTAACTTTACAAAGACAGCAATATCAATTATGATGTGTGGTTCGGCCACTGGTGTACTATTGCCTCCTTACATCATCTACAAGGCAGAAAAAATGTGGCAGCAATGGACTGAGTTGGGTCCAAAAGGTGAGCCTTGTTGTGCTGAAAGATGTTGTGTTCAAGGTTCGCGTTACAATCGAACCCACCATGGGTGGATCGACGCCCAGACATTCACAGACTGGTTTGAGATGACATTCTTACCACATGCAAAACGCTTACCGGGTCGCAAAGTGCTATTGGGTGACAATCTCTCGTCTCATTCCACGGATACTGTCTTGAAACTATGCCAAGAAAATGACATTGCCTTTGTTTGTCTTCCAAAGAATTCAACTCATCTTACTCAGCCCCTTGATGTTGGATTTTTCCGTCCATTCAAAATTGCATGGAGAGCAATGTTATTGAACTGGAAGAAGACGCTTTCACAACAGACTTCTATAGATAAAAAAGATTTTCCCCATTTACTGGCTGCTGCTCTTAAAGAAATGGATGAAAAATCAGAAAACGCTATTAAAAAAGATTTGATAGCTTCATTCCAAGCGACAGGAGCTGAGCCGTTTGATCCTGAGCGAGTCTTGCGGAAGATCCCAAGTGAAGATATCGGCAATGATACTGATGGCACTGTGAATAACGTTTTTGTGAATTACTTGCAACAACAGCGTTTTACAGCAGTTCCATCAAGAAGGAATATAAAAAGAAAAAAACTGTCTGTAGAACCTGGCAAAAGCGTAACAGCAAGTACTGAGGAAGATTCTAGCGATTCGGATATAGATCAGCCACTGACCAATGACAACTCTGACGAAGATCCCCTTTAAGATACAAATGACGATGTAGAACCAGAGACACAATATTTCCAACCAGCAGAGAATGGACTTGTGGCTGGAAAATTTGTGCTGGTTAAGGTTTACGGTGGATCAAGGAAAAAAACAATCTATCGGTACATAGCTATTATACAGCAGGTGAGAGTAGACGAAGAAGGAAAAAAGGAAATTGACTGATTGGGAATGAAGTCTGTAGACAAATCCAAGAAGATTTTTGCGGTTCAAGACGGTGACGAATTTGTATCAGATATGTCTGATGTCTTAGCAATTCTACCAAATCCGTCCTTAAAACAAGGTGATGGTATCGACAAGTACTTCTTCGAAGAAGTTGTCGACGTTTTTGAAATGAAGTAGCTTATGAATTTTGTTTTCAAGTTCCGTTTTCATTTAAAATTTAGGAGAAACGGTTTGTTTTTTATTTGTTTAAAGTCATGTATTTTCACTTCAAAATTAATAAAGGTTTAACAACAATGATTAACTGGTCTTAATTTGAGGAAACAAGGCAATTTATGATGAACAAATCCCATGATCAATCTCACCCTACCTGAACAATTTCACCCCCAAGACTATAAAGAGCTGTAACTTCAAAAATACTTGAGATAGAACATTGGCGGTGAGATTGATCATCGATGGCCTTGTCTGCTAACTGCCTGTAGATTATAGTGTGTGTGAACAATCTCACCCCAAAACGTGGATGAGATTGTTCACAACTTTATTTCCGTATATTTTTTATATTTTAAATTTGAAGTTCGTGATACTTTACTGTTCGATTCCTATCAACTACTTCTATATATTTACACCTCGTTTGGAAGATTTCTCCTAATAACCCCACAAAAATATGAAAAAGCAACTAAATTTTGATCAGTTTCACCCCAAATGACGGTATAAAGAGTCCTCTTTGCTTAAATTTTGTCGAAGTACCCAACAAAAGGCGGAAGCTTTAATTTTTCACCTATATATATATATATATACAGGGTGACGCATCGAAAACGAAACAGACGCATTTACTGGCAGCTCAGCCAGCAAGCTCGTTGGTCCTGAGTCAATTTCAGGAGTGACCGCGCATAGAGCCAGGAGGAAAACGGAGACGTGGATTGCAAGACAACACTCCATAAAAGGAGTAAGTATCTAGAGACATCTCCGCCAGGCACGGTAACTCATTGAAGGGCCCAGTGCTGAGGATGGACGTTTCTGCTTATCTCTGGATAGAGCCAACCTAAGGTTGCTGATGGGACTGTTGTCTGGCCATAACACGTTAAGGCGCCACCTGCACTTGATGGGGGTGGCTGAGGATCCCTTGTGTGAGCGCTGCGGGGTAGAGACCTCGGTGCACGTTTTGTGTCGCGGTGAAGCTCTGAGCTACTATAGTGGAGTCCATTACTTCAGACCCTCAGGACTTCCAGAAGCTTGGACTCAAGGCGATTATCAACTTCGCTAAAAGGGCGAGACTTGTGATGTAAGGAATGTAGATGTGCATAAGCGCCCGTTTAAGCGGCTTATGCACTGGCTCCTTATGGTGGCCGGAATACCTCTAATTTCACGATTCATTGATTCAACCCGTACACATATCGTCTCCTGAAGAGAAGGCTTAAACAAGGTTTTTAAAGTACTTTTTGTCCACGCATATAAGCTGCGAGAGTATCAAAGAACGCTGACATAGATTTTGCCACCCAGTTTATGAAGTCCAAAGCACATAGACAGTTTTCTCAGATTGTACATTTTTCCATTTCGGACAAGATCCAATCTGATACTTGTATCATAACCGACACAAGCAAAAATAATGTTATACCGCGGGATTTAGTGCCCCCAGTCGACCTGTAAAAAGCGATTTCCTGGCTGCAGCTCTCCAACTTCAACTTTGAATTCCTAATAACTTCTGTTTTACGATCGCTAATCCAACCATAACGCCGGATATTCCTGGTGGAGAAAGACTTTTAGTTCGGTTCGAGTATCGTGTATGCAAATTTTAATTTGAAACGGGATGTAGAGCGTTTTATAGTGCATTAGTATGAGGTGCTGGAGGGAACACTGGAATAATTATACAGGGTGTTCGAAAAATAGACGAAAGTATTTCAAAAATATGAAATAAGGTTACTACAAACATGGGTCTGGAAATGCCGAGTTTTCAATATACAGGGTGATACATTTTTTATTATTATCTTAAAAAATATATAGCCGGTTCTGTTAAAATTTGACAATATTATTTGTTGTACTAAGATTCTAATTTAGCCCAAGATAGATTAGAGTTATTAGGTCCAGTGGCATCCCGGGGGACACCTCAGCGAATATTATTGACAAAAGAATATACGCTCCTGCATTTTTTGCAAATTTAATAATTTGAGTTTGATTAAGCATCTAAAAATACAACCTTGTTGCTTCGTGGATTTTTTTCCTACCTACTTTGTTTTCAAGAAAAAAAATTAAAACAGTTTTATTGCTTTTCATTTTTGCACAAAACACATTCCTGCATACAGGTTAGAGATATTCACGTAATTTTATATGTGGAATTTATCACCCTGTATCTTAAAAACTCTCACGCACTTCCGGAACCATATTAGTAGAAACTTTTTTTTCGTATTTTTTAACAAGGAATGACCCTTCAAAATATCTTCGTCTATTCTTCGAACACCCTGTATTATAAGATCGTCTTGAGTCTCTTCAATGAGCGGTGGGCGGTCTTGCCTTGTTTTACCGATATACAAACAGATTTTGCTCCAGTGAGATATTGAACATATTGAACATGTTGTTTCGTGTTTTGGGCGATCTAGGCGGACCCACCAGGCTTCTGCTTATTATAAATTCAAATGGTAAATGGGTCCTGGTCAAATTGGCTGGAATTTTGCTAAGCATTTTGCGATCCTAATCTTATTAAAGGTCTCCATTGAATTATGTTTCGTAATATCAACGTTTTTTGAGCTACAACGTATTACGACACACACTAACATGGTTTCGGGAAAAATTTCGAGAATAGAATATCGTCTTTTGGATGTTTGGTGCATCGTTTGCCTAATTGACATGAGTTGTGCTAATGCTTCTGGTAGCGAAAAATGGAAACTATTGATAACAGGCAAGTGAATGAATAGAAATGCATGTTCTAACTTTTTTGTAATTCAAGGATTTATGATCTTTTTTTATTTTAGGTAAATTTAAGAATGTTTCAAAAATTTTAAAACAATTCCCGTCGATTATGTTGGAAATAATAAAGCTTGGATAACTTCATCAATTTTTGGAGAATATTTTAAAAAAGTGGTACGCTGAACTTGTTGAGAAAAATCGTAACATCTTGCTGTCGATAACTGCCCCGCTCATCCAAATATTTCACTTAATAACATCAACCTTCAGTTTTTTCCACCCATTGTGACATCAGTTCTACAACAAATTGACCAGGCTGTCATTTGGAGACTTAAACAAATGTATCGGAAACATATGTTGATGAAAATCATGGAGCGTCAAGAAGATGTCAACATTACCAAAACTGTCACCATTTTAGATACTATAAGTTTGCTTACTATTGCATGGGAATTGGTTACTCCAGAAACGATTCGTAATTGTTTTCGCCATACTGATTTAGTGGAAAACATAACTGAAATAGTCAACGATTTATTCCAGAAGATGTAATTCCATTAAGTGATTTACTCCTCGGTCCCCAGATTTATCCATATGCGATTTTTTCTTATGGGGACACCTCAAGGCTAGAGTATACGCGAACAAGCCCCGAACTCTGGACGAATTGAAGGGCGAAATTCTCGTGGAAGTAGCCCAAGTTGAGAGAGTCTACGCGAACTTCCAAGAACGCCTCAAGCACTGCATCAACGATTTCGGCCACCTCATGCCTGATGTGATTTTGTCTATTTCCTTGTGAACCTGATTCCATCAATAAATTTGTATTCGAGTAAAAATTAACTATTTTATGATTTTTTAAAACCGTCCATCCTCTCTGCCGCACCCTGTATAACCCTTCAAGATGGACATGTCATATAAGATCCAAAAAACAAAATATCTCTTTATCGAAATTTTTCGCGACTACAATACTAGCTCGTCAGTTAGTGAGATAGAGTAAGCTGAGATAGAAATAATCCGGATGAATTTCGAAATATGCTTCCCGCGTTCAGTCCTACGTTTTCTTCGGCATTTTCTAAAGTCGCAGTTATAAATACGATCTTATTTCCGGAACATAAACCGCAGAGTATTGGAATACAGGAAGAGAGTTCCGTTTATACGCTAGTTTATTACCCGAAATAACTGCGTCTGCATTTCTTTAGGAAACCTCAGATGCGCTGCTTTTGAATTTCATATTTCTATGACAGGCGACGGTGACTTTACCTACTTTGTCGCTTAGGGTATTCAAGTTTCTGACTTTCGAGAATCTTATTTGAAGTCTAATTATATGGGAATGTATTCGAAAACGCTAAGCGGACAGTTTTAGTCTATAAAGTGACAATTTAGTAGAAATTCAAAAGCGCTGGCAACTTTAGAACATTTATACAACATTTATTGGTGAAAATTGCATTCATTAACGAAAATTATCTATATTGGGTGTTTATTTAAAACTAAGTATTATCTCTAATAGGACCGGTAAAAGACAGTGACATCTCTCAACAACGCGTACTTTCTCAGTAAGGAAACCCACTTCACGGCATTACAAAATTGGCGCTTAACGTTAACGCAGAATGTTCTTTTTTGAACTACACTGGATCTTCCTACACAGGGTGTCCTTAACGTTGTGACTTTCCTTTGCACTGTGTATAACTCATGAAGCCATAGGCAGTGATTCTATTGATACCAAATATCAAAACTTGAAGATAACCGACAAATGAAGTTCTTAAAAGATCTTAATGGCCCAGTTTTTGAAAATCGACTTACTGGGGGCTATGTAGGGGCTGAACTTGAAGGTTGGAGAATGTAGGGGTTAGGAGGTTATAAATGTAGCAAACATCTTTAGTATTAATCAAAGGCATTCTATCATTAACAAGCTTCTGACACCGGTAGCAGCGGGAAAGGTCCGATGTACAGGGTGTTTCTTAATAATATGCGAATATCTAAGGGTGTGAATTTACATTAAAATTAATGTTGGTTTGCTTTATAAACTATAGTCCAAAAATGTTTCCTTACAGAAACTCGGGGTGTTGAAGTTTTAGGGAAAAAATGGAAATTAATAAATCAGATATATCACTGATATTTAGTACGTAGTGAAAGTTAATAAAGCTGCATTTTTTTCAGTGCAAAAATAATTTTTAGCTTTACCAGAGGTGTGCGTACGGGTACGTAGTAACTTCCACTACGTACTAAATATCAGTGAAATATTTGAAAATATTAATTTCTATTTTTTCCTAAAACTTCAACATCCCGA